CGCTCTTCGTCTAGATGATTAACTTGTCCAGGTCTTTTGTTTCGACCATTTAGTAAGCAAAATGGCAAAACGATTCGTAGAGAATATTTTGCATGCCACTGTTTGATAAAGTGAAGCTCCCATAAGCCCCTCACGTGATTCGAATCCCTGAAGTCAGTTGCACGCGGTTGCAAACCGGAATTTCCAGAGAATATGAAGTGCTGTTCAAGTCTGGGACCCCTATAACGAGGCTTTTCTCCATCCATACAATGTCCAACAGAGACAGAGTGGGAGAATAAACGAGGAATGGTTCCTGGGCTTTGAGCATTACGATGAACAACGGCTGTACTCGATGATAATGCGTGTGTTCCATGTGTTGGATATCGCGGTGCAAAGAAAAATCCCACGGGGTATGATGCGGAGTACCGTGATTATCGTTCACTCGCGAGTGAAATAAATATATTTAAGATTCGAGAACGCGGGATGTGTACTAGAAGTAAGAAAGAATAAAGTAAATCTGGTATAATTGTACTATTCGATATTTCGATCGACCACGAAATTGACGACTTTTCGTTACGGACGACGAGCGATCACAGAGAGACCTGAAACTTGTAGAGTGAGACACAACAAAGACTGTATAGAATCCAACACGCGTGGGCGTCTCTGGGCAGTGGATAGAGGGAGGATATCAAGGATTTAAAATACAGTTAAACAGAGGTGATAGAAATCGAGTAGACGCGAATTGATTCGATTCAAACTATGGACAAAGATTGGATCGTAGAAGAGAAACAATTGTAACTGAGCAATGACTGAATTGATTGACCATTCGCAAGAGAATGGACCGAGTGCCCACCGCTGGTTGAAAGTATACCCGACCTATTATCAACCGTTAGATTATAAATGACACAGAATAACCTGAGAAACGGTGATATTCTGAGTAGTAAAGTAAAGACAGTGTGCCAAGGTACAAGTAGCAGCAGCAGTAACGTAGTATAGAGAAAACGTAGCGCAGACGATCGTATGCTTTCAGTAGTAATCCAGAACTGTATACATATATACATAAATATATATACGATATATATAGATTTGTAACATCCTCGTATAAAACAGTCAATTTGGTCATGCCCGTCGGTATCGAAGGTTGTATTATCTCCGGAAGTTCGCGTAGACTTCTCATCCATTGATCCAGCGATGCCCGTCACCGCATCACAAGAACAATAGAGAAAAAAAAATAGAGAGAAACTAACTGTATTTTTCGTACAAGCCGAACGTTCTTCCTTCGTCCCCGGCTATAGGAATGTTTTTCTACGTACAGGAAATGCCTTGAGAACATTAGGTGAGAAACGATAGACGATAGTAGAGCGTGTTAGCGAGAGATATGTATACGTATGTAACTGCAAATTGTTTTTTCGATACAGACAAGCGTTAGTCGAAGGCTAGAGAAGACACTCGATGTTACACTCTGACCCCATAATCGTCAATGTACCCCGTTTCTTTAAATCCGCCAGGTTTTCGATTGATTCCCGTTGTAATCGTTCCGTGGCGTCGATGTTCATGCTGTTATTTTTTTCTACGTTCGGCGTGAAAACACGGATCTGTCGTTTTCACTTTTCCATCGTTCCGATCTCTCCGAGCAACCCTCCGCGGTGTCCTCTCTCGCCGTCAGTCATCATTGTCGATCAACGAGGAACAATAATATCTGTCTAATCGTGCATACATATCAGCTGACGCGATCGAAACGGACTGACGGGGCGGTAACGATGGGGAACTCGTTGGGGAGGAAAAGATTTCCCCAGCAGACGAGACGATCAAGTACACAAGCAGCCGGCAAACACAACGGATCTCGTTTATAGTCTACCCTGATCATGAAAGTGATATTCGTAATCGTATTTAACCAGAACCGCAGGCGAATCGAAACACGGATTACCTACCACCCGGTGCCGGTGATAGTATGCATTTTCTAACGAGTATGTATATCTGTACTGTATATCCGGACACGCAGTAGCCTCTTCGTGATTGTGAATGAAATAAATAAATCGGTACCACGTAGGGAGGATGTTTTCTTCTTCGAGACTCTTACGATTTATTCTTCATGATTTATATACATGATTATTAGAACGGTTTAATTCTTAAGAACAGAGACCGTGAATACAAGCTTTCTGTTTATCTTTTAATTTAATAATTTTCTATTTTCAATGGTAGATAATTAGGATTAAAAAAAAAACACTTTTCGAGTGAAAAAAATTAGAAAAATTCAAGACTTTTCCGTACCAGTGGCATACTGAATACGCCACCTCGAGGGTTATGCAAGGAAATCAATATTATTCACATTATGGAACATATAACGAAATATCACTGTAACACTTACAAAAGTTTTAAAGTTCCATTTATATCATTGTCCTGTGAAAATGTTCATACCTCCAGCAACATTCATATTCCAATCAACATTGTTAAAATCGCATTTGTTTGCAACGGTTGACACTGTATCTCGTCATGCGTACCCCGGTTAGTTCACTTTGGACAGCTCTTATACCGTTATACGGACAGCTTTCGTTTAGATAAAGCACTCAATTTGTAGCTGAAAATACGTAGATTAATCCACTATTATTGATAATAACAATAAGCGACCAGAACACTGTTAAAATCGCATTTAATCGCGGAGTACCACTATTTTTCGACCGGTGGCGCCATCCGTGGCGAATCGCTGAAACTACTAGCCAATTATATGGCTAGCAGTTTCACAGTTTTGCCACGGATGGCGCCACCGGTCGAAAAATAGTGGTACTCCACGATTAAAAGCGATTTTAACAATGTTCTGGTCGTTTATTGTCATTTTCAATGACAGGAGATTAATCTACGTTCTATCAGCTTCAATCTGAATGCTTGATGAACACGTAACTTGTCCATAGAACGCTGGAAGAGTTATTTAAAGTGAACTAAACAGGGTACGCAGAAGAGATACAGTGTCAACCGTTGCAAACAAATGCGATTTTAACAGTGTTCTGGTCGTTTATTGTTATTGCCACTGACAGTAGATTAATCTACGTTCTTTCAGCTACAAGTTGAGTGGTTGACCAAGACGAATCAGCCATTAGAGGGTACTAATCTACATTCTTTAAACTTCGAATGTAATGTAATATTTAGATATATA